CTTTTGCTTTAGACAGTGGATGTTGTTGATTATTGTTATTATAATTAGCAAAAAAATGTTGTTTTATAGTTTTTTGTTTGAAAGTATTGTGAATGTGTGCAATGTAAACTACTTTTTAGCCTCTTGACAATGCAATGCCAGTCAAAAACAGTAGATCGGCTTATGATTGGCACAATGAACATCAGAAATACAGATACAAATACCATGCGCTTAATTGCAACATGTCAGTTTTGCAAAAATGTGATGCGACGGGTTGTTGGTAATTAAAAAAGGTAAACATTCAGACAGCCTGCTCAATGATTTTTTCTAATCGTCATGAAACGATAATCGCCGTTAGGCCTACAGTAATTGAACTAGATGCTCTCATCAATTGAGCACAATGTCAGAAATCACAGCAAAAGGGAGCCTCCAAAGCAACTAGTTTTTCCCTTTTCCGTTTTCNGCGACGGGTTGTTGGTAATTAAAAAAGGTAAACATTCAGACAGCCTGCTCAATGGTTTTTTCTAATCGTTATGAAACGATAATCGCCGTTAGGCCTACAGTAATTGAACTAGATGCTCCCATCAATTGAGCATAATGTCAGAAATCACAGCAAAAGGGAGCCTCCAAAGCAACTAGTTTTTCCCTTTTCTGTTTTTGGTGTTTCGGCCATTTATCGACCAGGTGATAAAGTGCGATCTGTCGACAGGCAGTTTGTTGGCTTGGTTTGTCTTAATTACTGTTCGGAAAATTGGCGACAAATGGTTTGCTCATTGCGAGCTTACACTCGCTCACATGAAGCTCTAAACACTACCTGAGGCTCATTAGGCAGAGGCAATTACTGCTCTCGGCCTCGCAACGCCACAGGCCATTCTCGATAGAAAAGTCTGCATTTGTCTGATTCAATTACTTGACCTAGCTCATCAACTAGAACAAAGCTGGTGTCGCTTGTGAACACCTCTATTTGCTTAGTTAGAGAGCCGCTGTGATTAGCTTCATCAGCAACTTGCCAGTGATCCGAAGTTTTGTGTCTGTGTATTCTGCTAATTGGAAGCATTAAATGTGCGGTGAGCACACTAGTCTGATACATAATTCATTATGTACTGCTTCTGTTGGCACTACTTTGCTACTTTCTTTCTCTTGCAGAGAAGCACGATTTAGTTAGTGGTCAAATATAGCGCAATTATTCAGGCAATTGTTGCAGGCTGTTGGCGGATACTGCTAAATGTGGACGGAGAAAGACTGAGCGTCAAGTGTTGACGCCAAGAAGTGTGTTGAGGGAAGTGCTGTTGAATATATTCACCTCTAAGCTGTCTCTTCTTCACTGGCACTACTTTAGTTTGTATTTTCAATCAGTGCAACTCAGTAGCAGCACTGACTCTTCCCAGTGAAACCGTCTCCTGGCGGCGTCGGCATCACCGTAGTGGTCCTCAGTGGCCTGCATAAAGGTACGTAGGCATAACGAAAAGGCAATAATGTGCGATGATGGAAAAAGGCACAAGGGCAGAGACTGTTGTAAGCCAAAAGTACACAAGAGAACAAAACAAACTCTTGACAAGACTCCGAGAGGAACTACTCTAGAGGGATCGCCAGAATTGTGCGGCTGAAGTGCACTGTGTAATCTTTCGGTGTGTGAGAAAAGAGAGTGAGAGAGAGAAAGAGAGAAAGAAGGGAATGGCCACAACGAACACCACCACCACCATGGTAATGCTTTGTGCGTTCTCACTTTGTCTGCTCTCAAAGCTGCGCCTGGCACATGTGACATAACCACCGTCGCGCGAGAACAGCCGTGTAATCGATGCTCAAATTAATTTCAATGTCTAATTTGTGCCTGTTTGTCCAGCAAAGCTGCCGGCGTGCACCTCGAGCACTCACTCACACCGTATGAACTTTCGACAGAAGCCGGCGCGTCTGCAGATTGGATCAAACNTTCAATGTCTAATTTGTGCCTGTTTGTTCAGCAAAGCTGCCGGCGTGCACTTCGAGCACTCACTCACACCGTATGAACTTTCGACAGAAGCCGGCGCGTCTGCAGATTGGATCAAATCACCTGAGAAAGGAAGCTTCTATTGGCGAGTAATTAACTGCGATCAAGTTCGAGCAGCAACAGCACCTGATGAGAGTGGCGCGAGCGAACCGTTGCACACTCGTTAATCATCGCTCAGTTGCTCTATCACCTCCTAAGCATCACCTCGTTTTTGTTCATTTATTCGATGATCTCAACCTCACTGCCTCTCAACTGCAACCATGTTTTTAGTGCCAAAGCATCTTCTTCTTCTTCTCATCTCTTCTTTGCTTTTCACCGCACACATCTGCTCGGTCGTGATCGCCGCCACAACAGCATCCTTTTCACACAAAGATCATGTACCTTGCACGGCCAGTTTGGATCCGCAGCACCTTATTGCTCGCAAGTTTGTCAATGACAGTGCCTATGAAGTGATTCGTTGCAGTGCCCGTGTCGGCAATGAATTGTTTCAATTTGCTAATCCTGTGTTCGACGTATCTTTCACTTCATCAAATGGCCCTTTGTCTGGTGTTTTTATAATAAGAGGAAAGAACATCTGTTCTCCAAAAAAAGAATTTTGCTGGTCTGATTTTCGGATCCCAAGTAAGTGTATATTTTTGCAAGTTAAAAACATCTCGACATAAATAATTGCATGGGATTTGGTCTAAATTTTTTATTTACATTCTTTTAGGTCAAGCCCTGAGAGAACTTTTGCTGCCAAAACAGAGCGACAAGGGGGAAAACAACGCCATCAGTAGCGACGACAGTGGTTCTTCTCAAAATGAGATGACTAATGCGGTGATTGATTTCACATGCAACGTAGCCGATGCTTCTCGAAATGCAACAGTTCGTTGTTTAGATTCCGGTAGCATTCGTTATGCACATGGTAAGTGACTAAACACTGTCCATGGCTGGACAAGGCGCTGCAATCTTCTTAACTACATTAAACAAGTTTGAAGAAGAAGAAACAGTACGACAGTGGTAGTAAAACTGCATAGTTGAGGCACTACTCATTCACATTTTTTTGCTGCAATAACTTTGAAGTACATGTCGCCAATGCTTTCCATAAACATACACGACACTTTTTGATTATGTTGATATGAACCACCACAGTTGCTCAGGGCTAAATGAAAAAAAGTTAAAACCGGGCGCCAGCTGTATTTGGTAAAAACAAATCGATCTACTTTGGAGTGATTACAGATAAATCAAAGTCGTATTGATTAGCCTCATGGGTTGGCTCCAAAGCTGACTAAAAGTTATCCATCAAATGTTTTCTACTTCTGATTTACTCATTAGCTGCTATTGCCATTTTGGTTAGTTGATTGTGTGGGCGGGCGCATCTGACATTTGACTAGACAGTGAGATTATCAGAATAGCTAAGCATTTGAGCGAACAATGAGCTAATCTGCTCGAGCTATTGTTCAGTTTAATTTGTGCCGGTTCATTTGTATCTTTGGAAAATAAATAACAAAAATAAACTTGAGCGAAACATTTATGTCAATTTTGACAATTTGATTCACATATTTATTTGATTAACGTTCTAAACTTTTTTGCAGTTATCAAATTTGGAAGTCGTTGCTTGAACTCGGTCAATTTTGAAAGTGAATGTGGCCGCCGAATGATTTGCTCCAGTGAGAGATGTGTTTGCGACAAAGGCAACATTCCCATTGAACTTTCTTCAGAAGAGACAATTTGTGCACCCAAAGGTTTGTTGAAGCAGTGAAATGCCTCCCAGCTAGTTTTTAACAAATTTTTATACTTTGTAAATACCGCACATGCCACAGTCGCATTGAGTGAACGATGCAACTTTACTCGGCAATGTCAAAATGAAAAGTATGTAAATAAAAAACTAAACAATTTTTACTGAAAGCATATTTCAAAATTAATTAAACTTAAATTTTAAATATGACACTTTGCAGTAGCCTCTGCGAGTTTGACCCATGGATTAGTGCCAAGATCTGCAAGTGTTTGAGTGGATTCGAGGAGGTGAAAAGCGCGCAAAATAAACTATATTGCGCCCCCGTGAAGCCCACTCAGTCGACCAGCAGCTTGAGCAGTACTGCGGCCACAGTTGAGCAAGATGAGGCAGCTGCTGGCCGTGATGATACTGCTGGCAAGGACGACAGCGAGGATGTTGTTGTCTTCAGTGAATCACCAGCCACACAAGAGGAGCATGATGCCAAAATGTCTGAAACTGTGGACTTAAAAGCTATGGTGTTGAAGCTGGGCAAAAGCAATCAAATTGGACTTATTGTTTTTGCCGGAGTCACTCTGATGGCGTTACTACTAGTAGCTATAATTATAAGGTTTGATAAAAAAACTATTGATTTGCTACTAAATAGATAGCAATTATTGACAATTAATTTCTGCTTACTTGTAGAGTGCGAAATCACCGAAAAATGCATGTTGAAAAACACCATAATGAAAAGCCCAGCTCTAATGACAAACCAAAACGAAGCAACAGCAGAGATGGACCTCTTCTTGGAGCAGTGCACCGATTGAGCGATGATGAAGAGGAAATTGATGTGCGAATCGAGGAACATGCTGAAGAGGAAGCTACAACAGTTAACCAACAGTTGATCGACATTAATCAGCAAAGTGAAAATACGGCATCCAGTAATCAAAGCTTGAACAAAACATCTAACTTTAACTACAGTGCCAAACAGTCAGTCGTCTAGGCCTTCATACATGTACATTGCTCATTTAAATGTATTTATTTCTATTTTGAACGTTTTTAACCCCAAACTAACCCAAGTGCCACAGAATACCTTCATCGTATAGTCACTAATAACCATTTTCACAACTTTTACATGCGCGAGACGCATGAAAGTTATTTTTTGTAAATTAAACTTTTTATTTTTTGAATAAATTTAGTAATCAAGTCATGTTAGTAAAATGAAAATGAAACAAGTGTAAACAGATTCTTTTTGTAAAACAATTTCAGATAATTAGTCAAAGAGCATTTCCAGCAGTGGTTAGCGTGGTTAAGGTGTCAACGCCTAATCCTGCGAGCGCATCAGTTGTAGGTAGAAATGTGGCGTGTCTTCATGGCATTCTCGGTAAGTGATTTGATTTCCAGTGGGCTGTTGAGGGGGGCAAAGTCGGGAAAGTCGGTGCGTGAGTTGGAGCGACTGTAGGTGGGACGGCGGGCGGAGGAGGAGGAGGTGACGTAGTCGTTGCTGTACTGGTTGCTGCTCTTTGTCCAAGTGCTGCGACCGGCGCCGGGGCTGACGGCTCGGTATGGCTCTCGGTCGGCCTTGCTCGGCAGACTGGAGTACGCAGAAATGGCCGGCTCCTTGTACGACGAGCCCTTCTGGCTCTGCTTGTGGCTCTCATACTCGTGCACCTGGTGGTCGTAGAAGGAGCGCGATCGAGCAGGCTTATCGAAGGACGACGAGGAGTACTCATTCGTCTTCACTGGACGGTGAATGTATTCGGGTGGCACTGGCGGCGGCAACATTGGCGACATTGATCGATCTCGAATGCCCTGTTTTCCAACAACAACAAGTGAATAAGATTAACGTGTCAGTGAGAAAATGCGTCAAGCTGGCCCTGGTAATCCTCAGCTCACCTTTGTGTGCTCCTTGGTACGCTGCACAAAGCGGTCATAGTCACGCTGTACATCGCGTTGTTCATTGTGTCCCTTGAAGGAGCGCTCAAAGTCCTCATTGAAGCTCTTGTCCTCAACGACGCGGTTGTTCTCCATGGCAAACTTGGACGTCTTGACATTGGAGCTAATGTAGCCTTTGTCGGCATCGCCGTTCTCTGCTGGATCGGCCCCATAGTAGTACTTATTTCTCGGCTTTTCCAGCGGGTCACAACACTTATCATGGCCTGCCGGTGTGCCAAAGGTGGACTTCCGTGACTCAACTCGCTCATGTACCTCGTGCATGTGTTTACCATGTCGATGGCGGCGAGCTTCATTGTCACTGTCAGAGAGGGATGCCTGCGTAGAGGCGTCGTCCTTTCTCGACTTTCCCTTGGAGTTCTTTGAGGAGTTCTTTGCAGACGTTTTCAAAGAACGCATCTTATCGGAGAGTCGATACACCTCTGAAGTCTCCACAACGTCGCTGTCGTCGCCCGAGTCAGCCTTGTGGTCTCGCCATCTACGCTCAAAAGGACACAATGAAAAGACAATAGCATTAGTCACTAGTTAGTTATTATGCCGTTTCCATCATTTGTTGTTGAGGATTACTTACTTTTTGTTTTTCACTTTTTCATTGCGTGACACGCTCATAGAGCTGTTTGTTCTTGAAGTCCGGTTGTCGTCGTAGTCGTAACCGGGACGATTGTACTCCAGCTGTTTGCGTGACGTTGACTCTGGCAAGTGTTTCGCTTCCTGACTTTCCTCAGGAACCTCGTCGTCCTCGTACTCTTCATGGTGCTGAGTTTGGGTGGTGTCAGTCTTCAGAAGGCCATCTTTGTCCAGGCGAGAAATCTCCTGAATCTCATCAACGTCGTTTATCTTTCGGCCTTTGCTGCTAAAGTGCACCAGCTTTCCTCGAGGTACTTGCGGAAGTTCATTGTCAATGCGAATCAGCTCGTGAGGCGCCTCCACTGCCTTTCGGTGGACATCTTTGCCTTCGAGCTCTCGTAAGCTTTCATCGTGGTACTGGTAGTTCTCCTCTTTAGCTTCACGCATCACATTGTGGGTGACCGTCTTTTCCGAAACCACCTGGTTGCCAATGTCTTTGCGGTACTTTTCGGGCACTTCTGAGTCACCTAGGCGACGGTGCTTTGTGTCCTCTGATTCATCTGATTTCTGGTCTTCTGTCGTTTTAGTGGTCACTGTTGGCCCACTATCTGCAATGACCTTACCATCCTCCATTATGATTTGCCTCTGAACACGGGTTTCCACCTGTTTGGTTTTGTGGTTTATACGTCGCTTAGTGGTGGTCCACTCTTCCTGAGTGCCCGGCGGGGGCAACACACCAGAACTGGGATCGTACTGTAAACAGGAGAAAAGGAGAGCATGGTTAGTGTCTGCGCCAATTCAATCATCTCATCGCTAGAAAGGCAGGGTAGGGCAACATAGTTGCTGTTGATCGCAATTAAAGTGCAATCAATAGTCCAGTCAAGTGCACTGCCTGGTCGCGCCTTTCTTCAGGTGAGCAATTGCCATAAATGGAGTTAATGCAATAATGTCTGCTTTAAGGCGACAGGTAGAGAGCAAACGTATTTGAACGCGCTTTTACTAATCAGAAAACTGCGAATGTGGATACATTAATTTGCGGACGATAACTGATGATTTGATTGATAAGAACAAAAAACAGAAGCCAATGACAGTTAAAGACTTACGGGCATGACAGTAGTCGACTTGGTGGTGACCACTTTCTTGTTGCCGCCGTCGGAGCTGACCGTCGAATACTTGTCGTAGTCCATGCTGCTTGGTGCTGTACTTTGAGGCAATTGAGTAGTGGTCTTCAGCGACTGAAAGCAGACTAACAGACAGACGCTAATAGAGCGGTAATTGATAGTACGCCTCGCAGACAACAGCTGCAGTCGTTACACAACAATTATCAAATCACAGGCACAATGACAAGAGAGAGAACGTCGAGAGGTGGCCAATAACGAGCGTTCTTCACACAGTCACTGATTGGTGGTGATCAGGTGAGAGGGAGAACGTAAGGTGGCCAGAATGCAAACAACAAACGAATGGAGCAAAGAACGGATAAAACAATGGCAACGGCAGATGAAAGAGAAAGTGAGAATGTGCTTATGAGGGAAATGATGCTGTTCACTCGGTGGTTTGTGAGCCAATAAAGTCGGCAGTCGTGCAAAAATTAGTCGGCGGTGGTGGTGGTGGTGGTATTGGTGGTGGCAGTACTGCAGTTCTCCAGACTGTGAACATCTGTCTGGCAGTGATTGAGCAACACTAACACTGGCAGCACAAGGTGCACTAGCTCACTTGGGCACTGGACACTGTCAGACGAGATGGCCGTCGACAGACTGACTGCGATAATCTATCGATACTGCTGAGGCTGACAGATGAAACAGGTGCACAAAATATTAATGACACAGTCGTTTGTTCTAGCAACAAAAACAATTCAAACTTAAAGTTTTTGTGGTTTTGGGTTTCATTAAAGTGTTAGGATGAGGAATCGTAGCAACAAAGGGTACAATGGCAGTGTGATTTTTGTGTGTTTCAAAAAGAAAATGTAATGATGCACCGTTGTCAAAGCACCACTGGTTTCGAGTGGAAGTCTTTTTGGTAGAGTGGAACAGTGAAATGATGAAGCAATGCTGGCTACAAACAGACGCGCTTCGGTGAAGAGAAAAAGAGAAAGAAAAGGTGGCGGCGTCGGTTGTGTATGTGCGTGTGTGTGTGTGGTGACTTTGTGGAGAAGTTGTACGTGTTGATGCAAGCGAAAGTGAAGAAGGCAAGAAGGCGGCAGATCAGACCATAAGTGTAGCCCACACAAGATCTCACTTTGGGCAAAAGCGCTGCACTCAAGCGCTAGATTTGAGACTTGGATGAATGGAACACAGGAGGAGGCTACAAGGTTGTCCTGGACGCTAAATAGGGCCATCAGTAAGCGACATCAGCGGAAATACGCTTGCACTGAAAGTGATGATGGCTGTATGGTATGCTGAGGGAGGTCTCTTCCGATGCTGCAGAAGTTGAAGAACACTGATCAGAAGAGGCGAACTGGAAGAACCGACAAGAGTGGACACGAGTGCTCCTCTTCCACGTGGTGCTGCATCCTTCTAAAAGCTGAAGTGTCGTTGGCAAAAATGAGTCCACCTACAGGTTGCCGTGCCATGGTCATTGGCGCAGATTGCCACTGCTAATTGTAACACTTGCCTCACATTGGTTCGACAGGCATCCTGATTGGTTGCGCTTCATTGCCACAATGTGATGTGATGTGAAGCATAGAGACTTGCGACAGATGGAAGACTCAATGTTGTGTCTGTGTGTGTGTGTGCTACAAAATCTTCTCAGATGAACAGAAGAAATCTGGGAGAGTTCTTCTGTTCTATATGTCTCATAAGTAGCTAATTAGCCATTGCGCTGCCATTGTCATTGGCAAGTTTGTGTATACTGATGAATGAAGCCAGCCAGTGCTGGTCATTTGCATTGTTCACAGTCAGACAGTGTTCAGTGAGCAAGTGTGTTCTCAGTGTCATTACCTGTCCTCAACATTGATTCACTTGCTTTCTCTTTCTCTCTGCTCATTATACGCTTTCCGCAGCTGTGAGTTGCTCAATAATCGAAATAGGTAAATAATTGACAAGAAGAGAGTGAGATAAAACGTAAATATGAAGAAGAAAAGAGAAAAGAAGAAATGTCATCTCAAGACCGGTGCTTGACTACAGTGACAGACCACCAGCACCTCCACGAGAAGTGATGGCAATCAACTTTAGCCGACAATAGGACAATACGTGCAGGTGAAGCAAAGGTAAAGAAAAAGAGATGCTAAAGAGAGAGAGAGAGAGAAAGAGAGAAGAAAAAGAGAGAAAGCGCAAAAAGGAGAAAGTGGTCGTTGAAGCCGACTACCATACATGGACATGCCAGCACACTGATACACGCTCACATTTAGAATAGCTACTACTGCCAAGAGCAGCACTGCATCAGGCGAACCTGCTTTGAGGTGCCTAACTATTGCGCCCGAATACGTCAACGCTTTCTTTGTTTCCTTTTCAGCATTTGTAGATAACTTAATTCTCTTCCAAAAAACAATGCCTCTTTTACGTGGAATCTTAGAGGATTTCCCTCAATGGAGACAAACTCCACCAAAAATTACGTTCTTTCCTCACTAGATGTCAACTTGCTCGTTGCTAAAGTTGAAGAATATTTAAGTAGAAAATATGAATTTAGTGAGGTTATCCAAACACCAGATTCTGGTGTTATAGAATCAATACACATTCATGTTTGGTAAATGATAAATTGATATTGTAACGATGAAAAAACAGTCACTTATTATTATTTTATTCAACACCTTCACCGACTGGTCGATTTCCCGTTCCCCTACTATCATTTGCTTGTTAGAGCAATCACTTCATGTTTTGTGCCTTTTATTCTTGACAATAATATTATTGTCAATAATACATTCAAATTACCCTGCAAGTGAATTTAAATTAGGTACTTGTAAATGCATTACTTTGTGGCAGTCTTCGGTGACTAGACACCTCTGCACTGCTGGAAATTGAAATGGTAAAGTCGTAAATAAAAATAATAAAAAGACGTCGCCAGTGTCGGCTCATACTCTGAACATCAGTGAAACAGCGGCAATGGTCACATTGTAATCGTGTCCAAGTGCTGCTTCAACTTGGTCTCAAGTGTCTGTCTGATTTAAAAGATGCGACGACAGTGCTTCGGCACAAAACAAGCCGACAAAACTTGTTCATTGCAGAGCAGAGAGTGCTGCCCATTTCATTTGCCGAATGTGCTCTTTTATTTTACAAAGTAATAATGTCCATTGCATTGTTAGCAAGCAGTTAATTAGTGGCGCGTAGCCGTGTTTTGTCTCAGCCATCGCATTGTTCGACAAAATCTGATGAGTTGGCTGCGCCATCTTAGAGAGGCGACTCGAGTGAGCACATTCATTTAAAGTGAATGTCCATGTAAGTGAATGTTGATAATGATATAATTGAGCATCACTTTTTAAAGGAAGAAAGTGCTTCTTGTGTGCACAGTAGCTAGCTGGGTTGTTTGACTAAAGTGAAAGCTGACATTGGACATTGGCGGCGTGCCGAGATGGTGTTGAATAATGAGCACTATGCAAATGTGGAACTGCTTACTTACAGTTGAGATGAAATGAGGATACGTGGTAAAGTGGCAGTGTACTCACTGGCAAGAACTATTCTCGAGGAAAGGAAAACAAAAATCGCTGACACTTCAAAAATGTGTAAAGCTTGCCTGGACCAACTTGTGCAACTTGTACATGACGAACTTGTAGTAAGAGATTTGAAGTGAACAACAATGACATCGTCTTGGTGCAATAAAGCAGTAAAGCCAATAGTAATAATTATGTTCAAAGCAGTCTGAACAGCAAATCACCTCAGTGTCGCCGGGCATAAAGCATGACGATTTAGCCCTAAGCGATTTGCCCTAAATCCTTCTCTCTTCAAAGTGACTTCAACTCCTTCAGTGGCGATAATTATTTATAGCATTGCCAGCATCACCCAATAGTCTCTTAATTGATGCCATTAGGTGAGTTGAAGTGAAGACGAATCTGCCTCCCCGTCCGGGTAAGCAGTGGCAGTCAATCCGCCTAAGCGATCATCGCTTAAAAATGTGAAAACCAAACTCTAAAAACGCCTGTCAAAAGCGCTTAAAAGTTTACTTTAGCGGACGTAAACAGTGCTGGGACAGCATTCTTCTTTCTTCTTCACAGCTGTACATGGGCGCCAGTCATCCTCATCCTCATCGTCGTCGTCGTCAGCTGCCTCGGCGTNAACGCCTGTCAAAAGCGCTTAAAAGTTTACTTTAGCGGACGTAAACAGTGCTGGGACAGCATTCTTCTTTCTTCTTCACAGCTGTACATGGGCGCCAGTCATCCTCATCCTCATCCTCATCCTCATCGTCGTCAGCTGCCTCGGCGCTCGTCAACGATCGACATCAACACTTGCGGTGGCACATCTTCTCGATGACTGGACCGATGCTTTCCCCAGGAAGTCGCTGATTGGTAGTGCTGCTGGTGGTTGTGCATCACCAGCAGTCCACCAGCTGAGTCACCACACTGTTTATGAGATCTATTTTTGTTGTTTCTTTTCACTTCTTCTTCGTCACTGGCTGTCATGCCGTCTGCCCGTCTCTGTCGGCCAGATGCCGCGCAATCTAAAAAAGCAATCTGCCGCCCGAACGCCTTCTGTTTGCCTTCGTGCTGTCAAATTCATTTTTTAGCAATAGCAGTACTCCAGAGTGCTGCACTTGTAGAGAGATCAGTGCGGCCTAGTGCGCAGTGAGAATACGAAAACATTTAATTAGTCGGAGATGAGTGTGTGTTGTGTTCTCGCTGGATTGTTGAGTGCGTAACACGAGCTACACTACAGAATTAAAAGACACTGAAGGAAAAATTGGCGCGATTCGGCCTGAGCTCATTTACGCTCTTGTTGCTGCCGTGCTTGACACAATGGCACTTGTAACCAGTCAGCTGCAGCAATGTATCATTGCTGTGCTGCTTTTAACTTCAACACTGGACGGATAAAAGAATAAATAAAAATAGTTAAGCGAAGAGTTTGAGAAAGTGAAGTAAGGAGACGAATTAGTGCCGCCGCAAGAGGATGCCCTCACCGCTGACTATTTAGATCTTTCAGATATCTGTCACTGACTGGTCGCAATGCGATAAGCGTAATTAAGTCGACGAATTTGTCGACTCTGCGCGGGTGTGCAGGGTGCGCAGAATTGTGTCAGATTCACTGTCAACCAAGCGCGACAG